ATCTTGTGAGTGTGTCGACTTTTGTGAGTCTACTGGTTCCTTCCGTCGTCGGCATTGTCGAGGGGGGGGAATTCTGTGTTTGGGTGTACAAAACACTTGGATTGTGCTGTTGCTTTGAGACTATTGTGTAAGTACAGTGTTTGAGTTAGAGCTTGTTTCGTAGCCGGTTGTGTAAGAGACTCGGAATTACTGCCCACAGATTCCAATATTCAGGGCGGTGTTAGTCTCGGGTACGGTACTCTGCGACTTGACACGAACTGTGCGACCCCTTTCTTATACTTACCTAGCATTGTACATTTGTAGGTGTTACGGTTCGCGACCAGGTTGTATTTAGACACTTCACAACGTCTCGATTGTGGTTGTGATCTGGCTATTTATCGACTGCGAGAGACCAATGGCCCTCTCAGCTTTTCAACCCTTTAGACGAAGCATGGCAGTAGGTTGGACTCTCTGTCTTTTTCCCTTTAAAGTGGGTTATATGATATTTTTCCTAGGTGTTATTTGTACAGTTTTACTACTTTCTCCTGGTTCGCTGATGATGTATATGGGATGATTAGGGTGTGTTTGAAGTGGTGAGGTGAGTATCGACCATCAAAACCTGTACGTCCTACTCTGTGTCGTGTGCGGGGTGGTAACCGCACTCTACACTCTCCATCTGCGAGGTGTACTGGTCGAATCTTTATGGACAGATTCGGACTCTCGTCGGGCTCCACTCGCGGAGTCTAACCTCGGTCTGGTCTATGCTACCTCAGTACGTACGGTCTCTTTTGTTTGAGAGAATTGAGAGTGAGTACGGTTTCCTGGGCAGGGGGCCACTCATGTAGGTAAAACCCTAAACGTCTGATAGGGGATGAGTGTGTCTTGTTGGGGGATGAAGGAGGGTAGAGAAGCGGAAGTGGGAGTAGAAGAGAAGAGAGAGGAGAAGGCGTGGGGGAGTCAGGGCACGTAAGAAGAAGGAGGAGACCGGAGGAGTAGCGGGGAAGGGGAGTGACGAGTCGTTAGGGACTCATACGAAGCGTCGTCGGTCGCTGAGAGTCACTGTGCCGGAGGGTCAATAGAAGAGCGGAGATGAGACGATGAACTGGCCGGGTGACATTGCAGTCTTCTTGTGGTGCAAGTGCAATTGTATGGGTGTCCAGTCAATTGTATGGGTGTGGCAAGCAATTGGATGCGGTGTCCCAAGTCAAATTGTATGGGTGTGACAAGTCAATTGTAGGGTGTCGAAGTATTGTATGGGTGTCCCAGTCCATGTGGATGGGGGTGTCCCAAGTCATTGTGTATGGGTGTCCCAAAGTCAAATTGTATGGTGGGTGACAGTCGATTGTATGGGTGTCCCAAGTCAATTGATGGGTGGGACAAGCTATTGTATGGGGGTGAAGTCGATTGTTGGGGCTCAAGTGATTGTATGTTTGTG